TGCAATCAGTCAAAATTAGTAAATCATGAACATCTGCAAACTAATTATGTAGTTAAAGTTTTAGAGGAAGCCAAGATTACACAATATGCACAGACTTCAATGTTTCTGTAAATCATACAGTGACTTGTATTTTTACTTTGTAGTATTGTGTTTCAGAAATAGACATAATTTGGTTAAATTTAAGGAAAGTGATATGGCTTTAACCATTTATGTTTTGATAAATGCACACACACTACTTTACCATTGACTTCTTATAAAAAAAAACATCTGTTAAATAACTAATAATATGAGGTTATTACAAGAATACCTCAAAGTTTGCATGAAGACAGTACAGCTGAAGTATCAACCAATGCGCAGCGGAGGTCGATGCAAAGGCGTACTGTCTGAGTGCATATTTTGCGGTATCCTCATAATAACCTTATTATTATACATCTTTTCCTCCCAATGATACACCATAGGAAAGTCAAAATCCAAAAAGTTTAGAACAGAATCGGCGAACTTCTTAGTGTGGTGTTCGGTCAAACCCTGATGGCAGCCATGTTTGTTTTGTATTATTAGATGCTTATGCGTGTAATCATTCCACATTTGGAATTAACATTTCCTTATATGGTAGGATAAAAATACCCTGTAAAATACCGCAAAATTACAACACGCTGTAACTTATGGCGTTACAGTGACAGATGTATAATAATGTGAAAGAGTTGAATATCTCTTCCTTTTTTTACAGAGAGTGTCAGGTGAAACATTGGCCCAAACACAAACCAGCCTGTAATCTTCTTGTTGATGCCCTGAAAAACGAAAATAAAAGTAAAGAAAGCAGTTGAAACTGATACTCAGATTACAGGCTTTAATATGGGACCAGTAGTACTTATTTTTATTCATTACTTCATTGAAATTGTCACTTATGATCTCTGACATGTTTTGATCATTATGTACACACAGTATGCAAACCAAGTTTATTTTTGTATAATTATATATGTATCAGAAAAACAATAAATGTATGTTAGTTCGCTAAATTACAGTTGTGTTTGTGTTATATTATCACATTGCAGGCAATGTGTAGACATAGAATTTTGGACAGTTTCTGAACAATGTTACTATTGATATTACAATTTGTACCACAGCTGTATTCATCTGGCCAGTGGTGATTGTCATCAATACATAGTGACACAAAGCCATCTATGATGATAAGCAATCAGTATTCTCCCTTCAGAACTGATCAAATTATTATTTATTTTA